TTTTTTTTTTTTTTTTTTTTTTTTTTTTTTTTTTTTTTTTTTTTTTTTACGCATAAATTTATGTTCGACCTTAGTTGTCTTTTACCCCTTTGAGATTGCTCGTGTTATTCAAGATACCTATGACGCTGCTAAGCTCTCAATCCCAAGCTAGGGTTTGTAGTTTATTTGTTCTTGGTCTAGACACTCAAAGTCCCACTTCGGAGTACAAATAGATTTATCTTGAAATTTTGGTTATCGCTCTCACGACTAACCAAACCACTTTTAGTAGCCAAATTATTTCTTTTTTGAAACATACTTACATTTACTTACTTTTCGCTTCAAAGAGTTAAAACATCTCTATAGACCAATATGAATATTTTCAGTATGTTTTGTTCTCACTAACGTGCATTTTAAGAAAATTTGAAGAAGTCATCCAATATAGAATGGCTTAAAACAAAGCACGCTTAACAATAGAGTTCCTATAATAGAGCCACCAAAAAGAAATGTGCACTTTGTTGGTGTAGTCATCCTGTCCTCAAGATCGCTCTCATTCGGACGTAATTTCGATTTATTCATGTATCCCTCTTTTACTCGAGTGTCACAGTTTATATAATACTGGACCACAAAATATTTAGTCCCTCTTTATAAATCTGTTAATTGAGATGTGAGTGGTTCAAGTCAACACGGTTGGTTCACATTGGCTTGCCCTAGTCGAGCCAAACTTCTTATCCTTCCGCTTCTTCATTCAGGCTAAATCTCTCCTTAAACTTGGATAAATCTAATGTTCAGCCCAATTACCTTTATATTTTACCTTAGATTTTTCAGGAACAAACAAAAAAAACACATAAAATTCAAGTATTAAATGGAAGCCGAAACTCAAACCACATAAAAGCCTAAACTCAACAATAATAAATTTAACAGGAAAACTGTCACATGATCAAGTAAGTGATGAGAATGTCAAGTCTATCATTAAAACTTTTTTTAGTCTAATTCAACCTGGGTGAACTAACCTCTTAATTGATAATATATATTATAACTAACAATCAGCTTAATTTAGTAGAACATGAAACAAACATTTTTAAGAATAATGAAATAGGAAGTATTAAAGGATTTCAATTTGACACGTTTTTCTTCATCAAAGGATTAAATTGTTTGAAGTTGATAGAGAAAAACAAATGAAGTGGTGTGAACATGAGAACAGAGTCTTTAATCCATTTCTTATTTTGGAGATGAGCAGACAACATATGACCATTATCTTCACCTGCTTCCATTTACTAAATCAAATCCGTTTGAAGAATCTTCGATTTCAGACCATTTTTTCTACTACTAAAACTGAAAAAGGTCTGCAAACACCATTATGGGATATATATATATATATATATGTTTAAACTAACTAAATCATTTCAAGTCATATTTGTTTTTCGTTCAATTTTTATTAGTATAAAATTGAATATACATACGTGTATGATCACAAGGTTGTATAAAAATTGGTTATGTAATTTTTTTTTTAAAAAAATTATTTTTATATTATATACGTCTAGTTGAAGATAATATTAAACTTTTATAAATTACTTAATATTTCTTTTAAAGATGCTACCATTTAAGTTTGCATTTTTTAAAAAAAATCTCATGACAGGAATTGGATAATCATTAGAGGATATAGTTGATATTCAATACTTAACTTCGTTTCTTTTTATATAATTTAACATTTTTTTTTTATTTTAAAATGATGCGACTTGTATAATTAGTTTTTTTTTTTTTTTTTTTTTTTTTTTTTTTTTTTTTTTTTTTTTTTTTTTTTTTTTTTTTT